CCCACAGACCCACACACACGAAACTCCTCTCCATGACCAAAAACCCATCCCAGCCCTCTGTTTTCCAATTCAAAATCTCCTTCGTCCATCAATAACCCTTGGTTTGACCCAACTTTTCTAAAATTATAAAAATACCCTCAGGATTCCTAAAATTTACGAAAATGCCATTATGCCCGAATATAAATTTCAAGCTAGTTTCTTATTGAACCTAATCTACTGTTCATCTCCTCCCTCCTTCGAAGAAACCTAAGCCGCGGCGACAATCTCGTTCACCTCCGAGAGATCTCCGGCCTCTCTCCCTCACTCCCTCCATTATTTTCCATCGGCATCAGCCGACCAAATCGCCGAAATCAATTGGAAGGGGCACTGTTCATCTTCTTCGATTCTTCGACACACAGCAGCGGCAGCGGCGGCCTCCCCCACCTCCAATCCTCCCGCCTCTCGCCGTTTTCTCGCATCTCCCTCCCCCGTTCTCCCATTTTCTTCAATGAGATAAAAAGAGAGGGACGAAGAGTTACTGTACATCGTCTCCCTCCCTTGAGACGAAGAACAGAGTAGCGGCGGCAGGAAATCTCTCTCCTCCCCGTTTCTTTCTACTCCCCACACATCATTTCCATTTCTTCTACTCATCCTTTTTCACCCCACGATCACCAGTTCTCTATTAGTATTTCCAACCGGTGGAGGAAAAAAGAAAAACGGCAGTGCGTAGTGTTAGCTCCAACAAACATTCCGCTCATCAGCTCCGTGAAACTCAAGCTCGGGAAAAGATTCCTTCGGACCATCGTTTCTGAGTTAGACTGGTGTTCGAACCATCATCTTCCCCATCCAGACCTAAAGGGAATCTCACAATAGCCTATAGCCTATTGCCAATGAAGCTTACACTTTTGTATGCCCTTAGTTTCAATCATAATGATTTACTTTATGACTTTATCTTAAATGAATAAAAATGCATATTTGATTCATGTTTCCTTAKTATGTTTTTGTGTAATACCCTGGACATTTAATGAGACTCGTGTTAGTTTAGAATGTTCACAGCCGGTGGGTCAGTCTGGGGAGACCTATCCTAATAAGGTTTACATTGTGGTGCCACCAAGTCGGTTGGGGTGGCCTATCTCATCTGTCAAGGTGAAACCCTAGGCACATACAGTGTAGGATTAATTGAATCTTTGAACTGGACCAGATTTCCAGTATTGCCCTGGACCTTGGAGATTGATGGGCAAAACTGGAAAATTACACCCAACCCCTAAACTTGATTATGATACTGCACTAGGTACCAGATTGGACTGTCTTTGATGTACCAATCAGTGAGATCCTTAACGGGGGTCAAAACCTAGGTATGTTGAGACAGTTTGATAATTCATCTGAGTGGGTGATCGTATTGACAGGATCAGCCCATTTGTCAAACAAAGGTAATGATCGGAGATGCACTCTCATTGATGGAAACCAAGAATGTTGACAGCCGATTTCAATTGTTGAGATTTGTTTTGCAAAGTATATTTTATATGAGATGTAAAAGTATATATATTATGATTTCTAAAATGTTTGCAAAAGGTTTTAATTCCTGTGATCCACACAAGTAGAGAGTGCAACACTGTTCCTTGCAGCCGAGGGAGAGGTCCTCTTTGTCAGGCAGTGTATGATCATTATGGGCTGAGAGGTTAAGTACAAGACCATTGAAGCTAATACCTGATGGGCTAATCTTACATCTACCCACAATCCCTGGGTGTGGGTGGCTTGGCCTAGGGACCACTTAGGGTAAGTGTTGGGCCCATAAAGCTCATTTGATGGGTTTCAATGGGTGTACTGTCCATAGCAGTGTATTCGGCCAGGCCTTGTAACAAAGGCTGGGTCGAAACCATGTGGCTGATGTGTAGATCAATGCTTGGGTCGCACGTCATACAAGGAAACCCAACTAGGTAACAGTTAGGAACGTTAAGTGAGCACATAAGCTTAATGAGCCTAAAGCCCATTTCGAACTGGACTTATTTAATAAGTTAAATATGGGCGAATTCTGAGATGGGTCAACAAATAGAATAGGGTCTTAACCCTATCCACTCAAAGAGTCCAGATTTGAATATGATTCAGATTTAGAAACCTCTTAATGAGATTAGGAGAAGGCTGATCTAATCTACAAATAATATAAGGGTTTATCCTTATCACATAAAGAGATGTCTGATCCAACATATTTGGATTAGCAGCTCCTAATTGGATTAGGAGTTGATCCTTTGGGTTTACAAAAGGAGGGGGCGGCAGCCTTTAGGAGAATCACATAATCAGATCCTCTTCAGAGCTGAAATTAGAGAAGAAAGATTTCTGCAATCCTTGCAAAGATCTTTCTTGCTGCCTCCTTCCTACAGCCACCAGACATTCAGTTCGATCTTCAGTTGTGGGAGAAGTCAATATTTGATCTTGACATCAGTTCTTTGAGAAATAATTGATAAGAAGCTGTGTCACGTGCCATCTTGCTGTTTCTTGCGAATGACAGAATTCTTGGAAAAGAATACTGTTGATTCTGCTCCATCCTGCACTGCACCATATTCAGTGGGAGCAGTCTTTGGATCCTTCCTTGGGCGTGAACACCTTCGTTGGGAGATATTATTTCTCTGTATCAGGTATAATCCTCTCCTACTCCTTTTGGTTCAGATCTGGTTCAGTTTATGGTTCAAGATTAATCCTTGAAAATATGATTTTCTAAATAAGAAATTCGATTCTCAGTTAAAGAGAGAGAAAAATTTTGAAATTTGCCCCTTTATTCCGCAAGATTTGGGTGTCCATACGATTGATCTCTCATCCCTTTAGGAAGAAGTGAGACGCCTCTTAACCTGACCAAATTATAATTGGTGTGTTGATGGAGACACCTCAGAGCATAATTCCTGCCTGCCCCAATGCTAGATGCTACAATCCGTGCTCTACTAGTAGATAAAGATTATGTTTGATAGTTCTAACTTCTAGTAAAACCAGTGGCGGTTTTACCGATAGCTTGAGCAAACTAGTGGCTTTAGGTGTATTGCAATCAAGGCATCTCTATCTATGTGAATAAGGACATAAGGGTGAAAGCCTCAAAGAGAAAGGACTCCCCACTAACCACCACCACAAGGGTGAAAGTTATGGGGTCCATCTTCATCATAGTGAAATCACCTTTATTTTATTTTATTTTATTTTTTTCGTGGGGCTAAACCGCTAAATCCTCCCAATTAGGGGTGTTCATTGTTTGGTTAATCGAACCGTATGCCTATTTTCAAAATCGAAATGATATTATCGGTTTCTGGAATACCAGTAACTAAAATCGAACTAAAGCGGATTGGATAATCAGTTGACCAATTTGGTTAACTGTCAGTTTGGTTTATTGGTTTTAAATAATAAATAATATATTATATATTATAAATATATATAATACATATTTATTAGTTTATAATATATAAAAAATATAAAATATTTATATATATTATAATATGCATACATCCATAAATATATAGAAATATATGTATAGATTAATCATCAATTTTTATATACCTTTAGTTTTTTTTAAAATACCGAACTGAAACCGCACAGACCGATTCAATTAACCAAATTTTCAGTCTGATTTCTATCGGTTTTTCGATTCGATTCAGTTATTCAGATTTTCTTGCTCACCCCTACCCCCAACCGATCCCAAGTCTCAAGTAAAACCTGCCAAAGACCATACCCATTGAGGTAGTTTGCACCTTCAAAATTATTTATTTATCAATTCATAAAGATTCTCACTATTATCAGTTGGATGTAAATTACAGTGGAAAGATTGATCTTTCCTTTCCTCTCTTTTTTTTTATTTTTTTTCTCTTTTAAATGCGGCTTTATGGCCCGCAAAAGGGATGATGTTACACTGGACCTTGTTAGTGTATTAAAGGACAGCAGTGTGGAGTTCACTGACAATTATAATGCAGAGAACCTTCCTTTCTATGGATTTGAGCCTAGGACTCAAAAGGGAGAAATGCCAATTAACCACCAAGGCTATATGGTCAATGGCACTCCATGTACGGTTGAGATTTGAAGGCCCCAAGGCTGATTCCATTCATCAATAGATCAGTGCATCATCTCTCAGAAAGGAGAGTAGAAAGTCTAAAGGGTCTTAGACAGTTACACACTTGAACTAGGTTATTGACTTTGATTTTACTTTACCTAATGAGTTCATAATTCCATATAAAATTTACCATATAGTTTATAAAAATAATCATTTAAAGTAATTCGATCTCTCTTTGATTTCAAATTCTTGAGTAAGAATTAAACAAAGACCATATAAAAAAAAAAATTACTGAGTTCCTAATTTCGAATGCATGGACTGAGAAACCAAAAGCCTATGGTCTTTGGTTTTGTTATTCTCCAACAATTCATCTAAAGTTTGCTATCTTCTTGATCTTCTTGACAAAATTAATTCCTTAGAGATGATTTGTTCAATAGATGTATTGTTGCTTAAAGCTTTGGTTATAACCTTGAGACAATGATGGCTTCCAAGCAGGTTTGATATAAGCCTTTGTGGCAGACTTGAGATCTGTTGGAATTGTAAAATCAGTTAATTTTGTTATAGGGATTCCCAAAACTGCAAATGGCATTCTTTGGTATCAGTTAGAATTGGAGAATGTCAATTGCACAAAACGCAAGTGATGAAAAATGAATTTGGAGTCCCTAATTTCCACTACCAATTGCCAATTCCACCACTATTCAAAGGCGAGGTAATATTGGTATGATATGGCAAATAAAATTAAAAAGAAACCATCCATGATTTTGGGACTAATTATACTTTGAAGCCAAAAATTGAAACCCAAAAACAATCAAAATTGTGGAAATTGTTCAAGTTTGTTTCCCCACCCAATTGCATTGTGTTAATAAGACAGAACCTAGCATTTAGATATTGTATTCTAACTCTATTTACATGGTAATAAGAAATGATCTATATGCCCATAATTTAATGATGGATATGGTATGATGTAGATGATCCCATGATGATGATGATGATGATTATAAATCAGTTAACTTGAAATGTTTGCATTCAATTCCAATCTGACATCAAATAGAATGTGCCTGAAATTTACTTTTTTCTTTTTTCCAAAAAAAAATGGCATTTACAGTAATTTACAACAGCGAAACATTAGATCTCATGCCAAGCCAAAGAGACATTTGGGCAATTCCATTAGGACTTCATCTCCAATTTTGTCATCCTGTTCTTTTCCTTGCGCAATTCAAACACTCCAAAACTGTAAAGAGGGGTGTTCTCTCTACCAGATCACAGTCATCATTGAGAGGATGGATCAGTTGGGACCCCAGCAGCTCAAGTACATAACTTTCCTAAGTGACTCTTCAGATTGCTTCATCTGCTCCTGGGCTCTCAGGGTCTTGTTATTAGCCATTGCCAAGGAAGAAGTGAGACTCCTCCTAGCCGGAGAAAATAATCCCATATTGTTCTTGGCATGTTGGTGGAGACACCTAAGGGTATAATTCCACCTGCAGATCCCTTGATCCTTCAATACTTCGACGGCTCCCACACTGGCTGCTACAATCCATGCTCGGCTAGTAGAACTCATTTTGTCTTTCTTGTTTCTTGTGTGAAGATGATATGGATAGAAAGCTGTTAGCTTCCAATATATAGAGGGTGAGGTAGATAAAGATGATGACTTGGGGGGTTTTAACTTTTTGTGAAAACCAGTGGCTTATTTGCCATTGGTTTGGAAATTGAAGTGGTTTTGGGTTTGGATGCATTCAATTATATGAAAAGAAAAGGTTAAAAAACAGCTGTGTTATTGAATGGGAATAAACATTTATTTATTTTTTTGTTTTGTGTCTTTTTATATATATGGGGGAGATTCACACCGATCTTACAGGCATATGTTATCATACACGGGAGATATTCTCATTTCTCAATGCATGGTAAGATGTGCCCATGAGATGAGGCGCCTTATGTGAGGAGAAGATCCCAATTCTATATGGAGAATGGTGGGGTGGGCCGTGGGGCAGAGAAGGGTGCACGTGTGGTCTACCGTCTACTGACCATACTGGTGTCCTCTGAGACCATGTGGTTTTGCGGGTTTTATGCTAGAACTCCAATTTAGAAGGGTAAATGATCATCTCGACTACAGAATAAGGGTAATGGGCTAATAACAATGCTTTAAAATTTGATTAGGGAAGTCCAATGACTTTTGCCTCTTGTCGTGGGACGGTCCAATGGGTTAAACATATATTTTATCAATAAAATTGTATAATTATTTTTTAATTGTAATATATGTATATAAAAATATTACTTTATGTTTAATTTATTTTTTAATTCAGTTTTAAATTTTTATTTATAAAAATATTAAAAATTGCAATTTGAAGTTAACAAGTTATCCAAAATAATAAAAAAAGTCATTTCAATTGGACAATTGAGCGCAAAGTTGTGGTTTCTTAAAGCTTGTACATGCAACAAGTGACCTGGTGACTATGTCAAATGAGTGAATGGTTTAACCACCCAAGTCAGATGATTTTTAGCTAGGTCAACATTTTTTGACCAAATGCTAGTTTTGGGAGAACTAGACCTAGAATCAAGGTCGGGTGAGGGTTTAAACGGTTCAATCGGTCAGGTCAATAGTGGTTTCAAAACATTGGGTAATAGAGCGCCCTGCACCCGTATGGGTTTTATTGGGTTCAAGCTTCATTGTAATGAATTACCTCCCCTTAAAAGAACATAGGGGCCAAGGCTAGAAGAACCAATGGGTCCAATTAAATGTGATATAGGGTACATCTAAATTTGATTCTTTATATTGCTGAGGAATAAAATCCTATTCAAGAACTTCACCTAACAACTTAATTTTTAGGTTAAACGGCTTCTTAAGATGGTATTTGAGTTTTTTATTTTTTTGACAAAGTAGTGCAGTGTTTGATCCTTGTCATCACCGCTATAATTAATTAAATTTCAGCACAAGATATTGGTGGGCCTATACTTGTCCCCTCTTCAAGTTCGATGGGCTTTTTTCACACATGATGGGGTATATTAGAGAATAAAAATGTATTTAGAGACCTCACCTAACAGCCTAAGTTTTTAGGTTGAATGATTCCTTGAGCTATATTTAGAATAGCCAAATATGAATTAGATTCTAATCAGATATTGAACAGAATTACTAAGTTCAATTAAAAACTATCAAAATTATTATATATTATAAATAAAATGAACTAAAATGACTTTACTTGTAGTAATGAGTGGTCTAAAAAGCAAAAGCACTCTAAAAAAGTACTTTGAAATTGGTATTTTTTTGCTTTATCTAATATCTAAATGTAGAGAATGTTGAGTTGAAACCTGAATGTCGAATGCTGAATATGGTTACGTTACAATTTTGCCCCCACAATTGATTAAGAGAATGGATAGATGTTATTACAGTTAACAAAAATAAAATGATATTAATCATTTTTTAAACTAAAATTAATATTAAATAATTATAATGACAATACAAAAAATAATATAATTATAATAAATAATTTAAAATAATAAAATTAATAATGAAAGTAACAATTAAATATTAAATAATTATTAACATACTAAAATAATATAATCATAAATTATTATTATTTTATTGATAAATCACTAAATAATAATAATAATAATAATAACAATAATAATTAAGTGCATAATAAATAATTACTAACATCAAAATAACAAAATAATATTTAAAATAATTACTAAAATTAATGTAATAATAAAATAATATTAAACTACTATTATTTAAATAATAAATAATAAAAAAAATATTCATAATTAAACAAATAAGAGTAAAATTCATAAAACCATTACAATATTTAAAATATAAAGAAAAATAATAAAATCATATATAAAATAGTATGAAAATAATATCATTTTAATAATAAATAATTGAATAATAATGAAACAAATAGTAATGATAATAAAATAATGGAATAATAATTAAAACAATAAAAATATTAATTAAATGGAAAATAATTAAAAAAACTTAAAAATATAATTATATAAATAAATCATAAAATATAATTAAATAATTGAAATATTTTGGAGTTCTTACTATTTTACTAATAATAATAATAATAATAATATATCATATTTTATTAATAAATATTATTATGCTAATAAATAATATTTGTTATTTGAATAATACATTATGAATATGAAAATATTATTTTAGTATTATTTTTTTATAAACTTTTAGTATAGTAAGAGTTGTGTTACCAATAATAAATAATGAATAAGAATGCACAAAGTGTATTTGGGGGACAAATAATAAAAATGTTGTCAAGTCTAATATTTGATGTTTGAAAAATAAGAATTATAAAAAAAAAATAATGGTTGAAGTCTTTTGCTTTTAAGATATTAGAGATTGAAAACAGAATAGGGGCAGATCGATATTAAATTCAATTATAAAGGGATTAAATCCAGATCACACTTAACAGGATTGAATTCAAATTTGGATGAGCGACTGAGCGAGTATCATTTGCAGCCCTAGTCGAAATGATTTTATTTTTTCTTTCTCAAGTTTCTAGGGAGTACTTGGATTAAATGATTTTATTTTTCCCCAATTCTAGTCCATTTAATATAGTGTAAAACGGATTCATCATTTACAGTAACTTTTGAAATGAGAATGACCGGACTTTAATTAATAATATGGTCATGGTTCATGGTTCATGTCTTTGTTGAGGTATGTTATTGGTGTGGTAGTAAACTTTCTGGATTAATTTGAACAGTCTACCAGGATACTCAAACGCCCAAGACCCAATAAGAAACCGATTATGGATCTAATTCCATTTAAATTCTACCATAGAATTTTCAATTTTAATTGCAATTTTGATTAATGGTTTTATGTATGGAGGATGAACTAATCCTTTAAAAGTTCAATCTTCAAGAACAAACGCCAGATGGAACATTTTCAGTCTCAACTTGATTTAGCGAACAAATTGCTTCAGTATTTCTCTTTTACAATATAATTTTTCAATGGGTTCTTCTACAGTTTCATTGCCCCCATTTCCCATTTCTCAATTTGTGGCCAAAACTTTTATACAAACTCTCTCAGTATGTCGATTGCAGAAGGATCAATTGGGACCCCAACAGCTCAAGTACATAACTTTCCTGAGAGACTCTTCAGATTGCTTCATCTGCTGCTCACTTTCCAAAGACTTGTCATAATTAGCCATTGCGAAGGAAGAGGAGAGGCTCCTCCTAACCTGAGAGAAATATCCGAGGTTGTTCTTTGTGTGTTGGTGGAGACATCTCAGAGCATAATTCCATCTGCAGATGCCTTGGTCTTTCAATGCCTCTACAGCTCCAATGCTTGAAGCCACAACCCATGCTCTGCTTGTTGAATTCATCCTTCTAATTCTATCAAAATATTTTCTTGAGAGATCTTTGTTTTTTCAGTAGATAAGGCGGTAAATCTTTGATGATCTGACTGAGTTTGGTTTCAAGAGTTGTTATATATAGACGAAGAAGTGAGGTAAATAAGCTCATGAAATTAGTTTTCAAGAAAACCAGTGGCTGTTATTCCAGTGGTTTCAGAAAGAAACCAGAGTACGTGGGAGGTTGGGTCGAGAGAGACATGAGAATTAAGAATTGGGTGGGTTCCGAGGAAAATAAATAAAAAAAAGCCAGAGGGCAAAAGCCAACCATTGAATTCACGTGACGTCTAAAACAAGCGAGTACGTGGGAGGTTGGGGGGAGGTGTACCACCTGTGACCAGCCCTCCTGGTTGTTTGCTTTTATCCTGATTTTTTGTTCTTATCTTATAATCCACTTTTGCCCAATAGCGATACATATCCAAGATCAAAGTAAAAAAATTAGAAAATAAACAACAGTATCTGTTTCTAAAATAGAAAAAAAAAAAAGAAACAACGCGAAGCCGTACAGTCTCCTTACATTTATGGGAAGGTTTGGTTCTAAGGGACAAGTTTGAAGGTGCGTAGAGGTGTAAATCGGGCTGGGCCGTCGGCACTACGGAACATGGGCCATGCTAGGCCTAGCATGATGGTCTTGGCCGTGTTGGGCTTGGGGTTTCAGGTCTACGAGCCAGTACGGAATGACTGTTAGACAGTTTTTGTGTATCTTTAGCTTCAATCAAAATGATGTACATTATGAGTTTATTGTAAATGAATAAAGTATATATTTGATTCATGTTCCTTTGGTGTGTTTCTGTGTAATACCCTTAAACTGGACACTTAATGAGACTCGTATTAGTTTAGAATGTTCACAGCCAGTGGGTCGGTCTGGAG